GCACTAGCAACCTCTTTGTTAGCGTATATCTTTAAGCATCTCCTCTTTGTTACGATACCGCGTATATCTTTATTCCTAGCACTAGCGTACATTTCCTCTTTTGTTACGATACCGCGGATATCTTTATTCCTAGCACTAGCGTACACGTCCTCTTTTGTTACGATACCGCGTATATCTTTATTCCTAGCACTAGCGTACACGTCCTCTTTTGTTACGATACCGCGGATATATTTATTCCTAGCATTAGCGTACATCTCCTCTTTTGTTACGATACCGCGGATATCTTTATTCCTAGCAATAGCGTACATCTCCTCTTTTTTTACGATACCGCGGATATCTTTATTCCTAGCACTAGCGTACATCTCCTCTTTTGTTACGATACCGCGGACATCTTTAATCCTAGCACTAGCGTACACGTCCTCTTTTGTTACGATACCGCGGATATATTTATTCCTAGCACTAGCGCACATGTCCTTTTTTTTTACGATACCGCGGATATCTTTATTCCTAGCACTAGCGTACATGTCCTCTTTTGTTACGATGCCGTGTGTATGAGTATTCCTAACGGTATCGTACACGACCTCTTTTGTTATCAGCATTCCAAGTACAAACTTGCACAAACTCTTTTGTTACGATACCAAGAGTATCAGTATTTCTAATGTTAACGCACACGGCCTCTTTTGTAACGATACTCTGTTCATTGAGGTAACTAGTGTTAACACGTTTGTTTAGGTATTACCGTTTGTATAGGTATATTTATATTGGTGTTGATATTGCAAAAGGACCTTGAGATGAAACCAGAATCCCTTGCGCTAATGCATGCTATTATTGCCAAGACAGGAACTCATGCATTCTCAACCCCCGAAAAAAGGGGGAGAAAAACAAACAGAAAAACCCACCACCACCAACAACAAATACCCAAATAATCACGACCACGGGCACAGGTATTTCTCGGAACAAGATTCATCCATAAGACCAGATTTACCCCGCGTATTTTCATTTCACGTAGGTTCTGTGTAAAAATGATCGTTAAAACATCACTGCGAGCGTTGTTATTCCTTGAACTAAAATACACCTCGACTGTTTATATAATACACTCAGTGTCAACGGTTCAAGAGCTAATGCCTTGTGTTTATATATCTGGTTCTGTAGTGTTGATAATAGCTCTGCATTTATACCGCACAATCCATCCAAATAAGGATATGTGTGTGTCGCCTCTGTTGATACACTAGCAAGGGACGTGTATGTCTGCTGCATACATGGCTGCTGGCTGTGCGATAGAGACGGAGAGGGTAGAGGACCACAGGTGCATGGTAAACGCCGTCAATGATGAGGATAAGGCTATTACCGTTATAAGCATGGACACTTGTAAATATGAAACAGGATTCATTAGTACCTGTGTTACTTATATGATGTGATGTACGTTGTGACTTGAAGACAACGTTATGGTGACAGACGCCGTACCCAATGTCATCCCATCAGACTGGAATGTGTGGGCAGAATACCGCTTAGCTGAATACACGTGATCAAATAGAAATCGATTTGAACAAGACGCAAGAACAATCATCTTTATCTTTTGTTGGAATCGTAACAATAGCCTCTTCATGGGGGATTTATTTCTTCAATTTGTTGTGAGTGCATTTGTTAATGCCCTATACAAAGGCGAGGTTTTGTTGTGTTGTGTTGGCATGTCGTGGTGACGGTCCCTAGGCGGTGGTGGTGACGTTCACGACAACCTCCCTGCCTCAAACAGGCCACCCGGTCACTCACATCAACATAATGGTACAAAGAAAGTGTTGAACTGATTGTCCTCCTCGTAGCTGTTTAATAGTCGACCTGTAAAGGCGCTTGTGTTTCAAGAGCTCAAAACCCGACCTACTGTTCATGTTGCTCAGGGCATAGTGCACCAGGTTCGATACACTTGTCACTGTACAAAGCTCAAAATACGATCTACAATGCAGATGGCATTGTTAGAAGCTGCATGCACGACCAGGAGTACCACTGGTTTTGCTTAACGCACAATACACTCTCTTTGAAGAACAATGTACTTAGAACAACATAATGCTCAATGAAAGACCGACAGATTTCTTTTACTTCCCAAGGTAATTTACGCAGTTTGTTCTCAATATATACATCATGCAGTACATTAACCCAGTGAGGAATTCCTTACAATCACCCACAACAATATGATCTCTCATGACGGATCATTCAAACAACCCAACAGCGTCTTCTCCTCTTGTTCCGTCGACAAACATGGAACAGTAAACTAACAATCACTGTATATGATATGTTTAAGTTGGCTCTGTACAAGAGATGAATATTTGTATAGATGAATATTTTTGTAATGGTGACGAAATTTCAAGGATACTTCTGAGTAAATATGTAGTTGGTGCTGATGTTTTTCAAGAGGATACAGTTTTACTGACTAGTGCCCTATATATGCCACCCCGCCGTTATTCACCCGGACATGCAACCTACCATAAAACCTCGTTACCAATTACAAAGCAGTACCGACGTGTAAAACATCCCGTCTTCCAGCTTCTAGATGCCTATGGAAGCACTGACTGGTCTTGTACCATGTTTATGGTATTATCTTAAAGAGATAAGCGTCACCTAAAACTAAAATATATAGCCTAAAACGCATTCTTAACACGGAAATCCTGAGACACGTTCATGCCCCGATTGTCTATAACAAGCCCAAACCTTGATACACAACTTGACAAACTATTCTTGATACAGGTGTTCCCGAACCAATCTCCTAGTATTAATATATATTCTGAGGACACGTTTTGACAAACTGTTCTTAGTACTCTGTCCTTGAGTCTGCTCTTCGTGAAGGATCATCGTCCCTGAGTATACTTTCTGATAAAGTTCATGGAGCAATCACATCGTCAGCCGTTACATGGTGTTTCTACTAATGTGACGTAACATGGAGCAAATCACCTAGTCAGCCGTCCCACGGTGTGTCGACTAATGTGTCACCGTTACACGGTGTGTCGATGAATGTGCCGTAACATGGAGCAAATCACCTAGTCAGCCGTCACACGGTGTGTCGACTAATGTGCCAACGTTACACGGTGTGTCGATGAATGTGCCGTAACATGGAGCAAATCACCTAGTCAGCTGTTACACGGTGTTTCTAATAATGTGCCGTAACATGGAGCAAATCACCTAGTCAGCTGTTACACGGTGTTTCTAATAATGTGCCGTAACATGGAGCAAATCACCTAGTCAGCCGTCACACGGTGTGTCGACTAATGTGCCAACGTTACACGGTGTGTCGATGAATGTGCCGTAACATGGAGCAAATCAGCTAGTCAGCCGTTACACGATGTTCTAATAATGTGCCGTAACATGGAGCAAATCACCTAGTCAGCCGTTACACGGTGTGTCGACTAATGTGCCGTAACATGGAGCCTAATGTGCCACCGTTACACGGTGTGTCGACTAATGTGCCGTAACATGGAGCAAATCAGCTAGTCAGCCGTTACACGATGTTCTAATAATGTGCCGTAACATGGAGCAAATCACCTAGTCATCCGTCACACGGTGTGTCGATTAATGTGCCGTAACATGGAGCAAATCACATCGTCATCCGTCACACGTTGTTTCTACTAATGTGCCGTAACATGGAGCAAATCACCTAGTCAGCTGTTACACGGTGTTTCTACTAATGTGCCATAACATGGAGCATATCACCTAGTCAGCCGTTACACGGTGTTTCTAATAATGTGCCGTAACATGGAGCAAATCACCTAGTCAGCCGTCACACGGTGTGTCGATTAATGTGCCGTAACATGGAGCAAATCACCTAGTCAGCCGTCACACGGTGTGTCGATTAATGTGCCGTAACATGGAGCAAATCATCTAGTCAGCTGTTACACGGTGTGTCGATTAATGTGCCGTAACATGGAGCAAATCACCTAGTCAGCCGTTACACGGTGTGTCGATTTATGTGCCGTAACATGGAGCATATCACCTAGTCAGCTGTTACACGGTGTTTCTAATAATGTGCCATAACATGGAGCAAATCACCTAGTCAGCTGTTACACGGTGTGTCGATGAATGTGCCGTAACATGGAGCAAATCGCCTAGTCAGCCGTCACACGGTGTTTCTACTAATATGCCGTAACATGGAGCAAATCACCTAGTCAGCCGTTACACGGTGTTTCTACTAACGTGCCGTAACATGGAGCAAATCACCTAGTCAGCTGTTACACGGTGTGTCGATGAATGTGCCGTAACATGGAGCAAATCACCTAGTCAGCCGTTACACGGTGTTTCTACTAACGTGCCGTAACATCGAGCAAATCACCTAGTCAGCCGTTACACGGTGTGTCGACTAATGTGCCGTAACATGGAGCAAATCACCTAGTCAGCCGTTACACGATGTTCTAATAATGTGCCGTAACATGGAGCAAATCAGCTAGTCAGCCGTCCCACGGTGTTCCTACTAATATGCCGTAACATGGAGCAAATCACCTAGTCAGCTGTTACACGGTGTGTCGATGAATGTGCCGTAACATGGCGCAAATCACCTAGTCAGCTGTTACACGGTGTGTCGATTAATGTGCCGTAACATGGAGCAAATCACCTAGTCAGCTGTTACACGGTGTTTCTAATAATGTGCCGTAACATGGAGCAAATCACCTAGTCAGCTGTTACACGGTGTTTCTAATAATGTGCCGTAACATGGAGCAAATCACCTAGTCAGCCGTCACACGGTGTTTCTACTAATATGCCGTAACATGGAGCAAATCACCTAGTCAGCCGTTACACGATGTGTCGACTAATGTGCCGTAACATGGCATATCTGTAAGCCAGAGACAAACCCCTGTCCATTGTACGACTCCAAATAACCATAAGCATGTTTGATACTCTCTATCAAACTGTTATAATAACAGGTGCTTCTGAAAAGGTGAACGATACCCGTCACACACACACGTAAAGGCAATTCAAGTAACATATATATCAATAAGCAGATATGGGCAATAACTCACCTATGTTGTTTGGGCGTCACTTGAGTTCCGGCTGTTCACATCTATTCACACATCTTAGAAACAGCCTGAAAAAGACACAAGAATAATCAAAATCTTAAAGAACACACTGTACATTGATGTGAAATATTTTCGTTTTAGGTTTGGAAATACAAAGATCTAGATATACAACCATCTTGAAATGATATGTCACAATAGTATGTAGACGTTTCTCGGCACGTACTGTGTCATTATGCTGGTAACTGAGCAACTGAATAGAAACTGGTGTTGTTGCCAACATCAAGCAAGTGTCGGCGGGGAAGCACCTTGCCCGCGACCAGGATAAAGAGGCGTTTGTGAAATGTCATCTCATAAAAGCTGCTAACAAAGTTCTCAATGTCCATGGTAACCATGGCAACAATAGTAACAGGTAGTACTTGTATATACATCAAGCTAAATTATTCCCATCTGATCCGTGCTGGGACCATTTGTGTACTAACCAAATACATAGTACTGTTTTAAGTGTTACAATATGCTGATGAGCGTGGGGATATGTTACAAATGTTTCATATGTGATACACTTAAAGCCTAGTTTATGCAGATATATAATCATTCCGCATTGACGTGTGGGGTGTGTGCTCATCCAAAACATTCACAAACAGAACAGTTAACAGATCACAACTTAATTACTTTGGCATCTCAGTTACAAGTTAGAACAGGTTAATATTGATTGGTACGTTAATGCTAGTATTTTCACATAGTTGTGTTTTCATATATCTGTGAGTTTTCATTATCGTATTGACAGTAATGAAACTTAGACAAGTAATCGACCCATCTGACATCGTTAACATTAGCTACCGGTTCGGTATTTTCTATTAACACAGTTCTTTGGATAACATTTTCAGCTTCACCGAGTGATAAGGTTCAGAGGATCTGTTTGCCTCAGACCGTCACAGAGAACATTCAAGCAACACACGCATTGTGTGTAAAATTCATTTCTATGCAAGTGAGGTCAGATTACACAACAAGCTGCTTATGGGCATGTTATAACAAGCAGAAATCAAGTCAGCACTTTTCGTATAGCAAGTATACACCATGTGCTCTTCACAATGGCAAATACATATCACATCAGGGGTATTCCATTGTAACTAACGGGATCGTAAGAGGCGACTAACGGGATCGAGTGGTCAGGCTCGCTAGATTGGTTGACATATGTCATCGTATCCCATTTGCGTAGATCGATTGCCATGCTGTTTATCACTGAATTGTCTGGTCCAGGCTCGATTATTTAGAGACCGCCGCCATATAGCTGAAATATTGCTGATTGCGGCGTTATCCAAAAAACAACCAACAGCCACTGTAACAGGTATATACATGTATAACGTTACATTTTTTTCACTCATTACTCACGTATTAAATGTGAATATTAGCAGAACATAACTTCAGATTCAAAGACAGGTGAACAGTTAGTATTTTGTCAAGTCACCATGGGCAGCAATGCAGGCTTCAATGCGGCGGGGCATACTACTGATCAAAGAAGTTAGAAAGTCGTGGCCCATGCTGTCCCAATATCGGACCACCTCTTCTTTCATTTCTGCAATATTTGTCTGATTTTTCTCATTGACACTTTCCTTCATAAGTCCCCAAACATTTTCTATTGGATTTAGGTCAGGGCTATAGTTTGGCCATTCTAATAATGTCATATTTTGGGTCCGAAACCAGGCCTGTGAATGCTTTGAACGATATTTTGGGTCGTTGTCCTGCTGGAAAATCCAAACATTTCCATAGAACACGTGAGCAGATGGAAGTAAATGTCCCTCGAGAATATCTGTGTACCGCTCACTGTTCATATTCCCTTCAAATACACAGAGGAGCGTTGCCCCTAACACAGATATGCCACCCCACACGTTAAATTTCGGAGTGTACTTTGGGCGCTGATACAAAGGTTTTTCAGTTTGTTTGGTCCAGAATTTCAGTGTATTAGGAAACAGCCACACAGAACTTTCATCTGAGAAAATCACATTATCCCAGTTACAATTTCTATGCTGTAAGCACCAGTTCAACCTTTGCTCCTTTTGTTCAGGTTTTATGATCGGTAATGGAAGTCCTCGACTTTTCTGCCAACCCATTGCATGCAGCTCAGTTCTAATTGTCTCCTTATTGACAGCCACAGTTCCTCTATCAATCATATCCTGCCTTAAGTTTTCTAAACTACTTCGTTTGTTTTTAGAAACAAGAATACCAAGCCTCCTCCTGTCACCGACAGTCAATTTTCTGGGCCTACCTGCGCCTCCCTGGTGCTCAATGCCATATCCATTTGCAATATTTTTCAAATCACGATAAACAGTGGACAAAGGGATGCCTGTTCTACTTGAAATCACTTAAGCTGATCTGATGTCCTTGTTATAATACTCTAAAATCAACTTCCTCTTCTCTAAATCATCCATACTGAGGATCACTGAAAATGTCGTCTGCTAGGGGGATAACTCTTCACAAACGAATGAAAAAGGATTAACGGAGTTGTCTCTCTTGAATGAAACCAAGCACTTGATAGGTGGTCAAGGTTGTTTATACTAGAAATCCAATTAAACATATTCCTAAAATTCTCAATAATTTCTGGTCATACTATATATCTAGTGAAAAAGGATAATATACATATGTCAATTGAGCATGTTCAACGATGGCGAGTTGATAACACGTCTGTTGAAGATAGCGAGGATGACAACACCAAATAACGTCAGCTGAGCATATTCAACAATCGAGAATTAATAACATGTCTGTTGAAAATGGCCTTGCAATATATGTATGATTAACATGGCGTCAGTTGAAGATATTCTACATCAGTTGATGGTGTTCCATCACAGCTAATATATGCCACGTCAGTTGAAGATATTCTACATCAGTTGATGGTGTTCCATCACAGCTAATATATGCCACGTCAGTTGAAGATATTCTACATCAGTTGATGGTGTTCATCACAGCTAATATATGCTACGTCAGTTGAAGATATTCTACATCAGTTGATGGTGTTCCATCACAGCTGATATATGCCACGTCAGTTGAAGATATTCTACATCAGTTGATGGTGTTCATCACAGCTAATATATGCCACGTCAGTTGAAGATATTCTACATAAGTTGATGGTGTTCCATCACAGCTAATATATACCACGTCAGTTGAAGATATTCTACATCAGTTGATGGTGTTCCATCACAGCTAATATATGCCACGTCAGTTGAAGATATTCTACATCAGTTGATGGTGTTCATCACAGCTAATATATGCTACGTCAGTTGAAGATATTCTACATCAGTTGATGGTGTTCCATCACAGCTGATATATGCCACGTCAGTTGAAGATATTCTACATCAGTTGATGGTGTTCATCACAGCTAATATATGCCACGTCAGTTGAAGATATTCTACATCAGTTGATGGTGTTCCATCACAGCTAATATATGCCACGTCAGTTGAAGATATTCTACATCAGTTGATGGTGTTCCATCACAGATAATATATGCCACGTCAGTTGAACACATTCTACATCAGTTGATGGTGTTCCATCACAGCTGATATATGCCACGTCAGTTGAAGATATTCTACATCAGTTGATGGTGTTCATCACAGCTAATATATGCCACGTCAGTTGAAGATATTCTACATCAGTTGATGGTGTTCCATCACAGCTAATATATACCACGTCAGTTGAACATATTCTACATCAGTTGATGGTGTTCTATCACAGATAATATATGCCACGTCAGTTGAAGATATTCTACATCAGTTGATGGTGTTCATCACAGCTAATATATGCCACGTCAGTTGAAGATATTCTACATCAGTTGATGGTGTTCCATAACAGCTAATATATACCACGTCAGTTGAACATATTCTACATCAGTTGATGGTGTTCCATCACAGCTGATATATGCCACGTCAGTTGAAGATATTCTACATCAGTTGATGGTGTTCATCACAGCTAATATATGCCACGTCAGTTGAAGATATTCTACATCAGTTGATGGTGTTCCATCACAGCTAATATATACCACGTCAGTTGAACATATTCTACATCAGTTGATGGTGTTCCATCACAGCTAATATATGCCACGTCAGTTGAACACATTCTACATCAGTTGATGGTGTTCCATCACAGCTGATATATGCCACGTCAGTTGAAGATATGCATGCTTGGCTGGTATATATCACATAAGCTGGGATCTGTGGTCCCACATATTCTCCAGTCCAAACACGTGACAAGCTGGTTTATTAGTGGGTAATGTGTGTCGTATTCCGTTGCAGAGTGATCATCGACAAACTATCTTCGTGACTCAATCGACGCCATGGCGAGATCCAAACGAGCTCGGGTTCAGACATGTAGATTATTGACATATTGTAAAAGGAACCGTGCCATATACCGTTGCAGTAATGCAACTTCACATTCACTTGCAGGAGAATAGTATGAATTGATTGCTGGAGTACAATTCCAGTTACACCAACATTATGGGGGAGACCTTACATCACCCACCATGCGCTCTCAACATTGACAATCGATATCATTTATCAATACTGTTTTATAGATACTTACATACCCCGTAACATGTTCGAACAGTCTATGGCTACATTCCACAACAGAAGGAAACATGGCCTATTCCAGGTACTGAGTGAAGGCAATCCTATAGATAACTGCGTGACATTTAGTGAACATACTCCCACACCTCGGTGACAATGTGCCAACGTTCTCCATGTATGGTATCTATTTACTGACCAAATTCCACAAGCTTGAGAAGTTAAACCACTTTTTTGATACGACTAATGATACATAGGTTTCTTCAAAGCCAATATATATTTATTGCCACGCAATTTTAGTCATTATTCATTATAACACTTATCTGTTTTTTGTATCGCAATTATTAAATAATGTGTATTCTTTATAAAATTATATAAAATAATGCACAACTATACGCACTTCGTTATAATGTTTCTATAAATGTTTGTTTATTATCTGTTTATTGTTCAAGCAGCAACACATTATTTTTTGTGAAAACCCAATGGTATTTATTGCTCACGTAATACCACATTACTTTCTT